TTTATGTTTTTATTCATACTGCAGCTATCCTTATGCTGTATGTACCGTCCGAATTCTTTTTATATGAAAAACATTCTCTTCTTTACATTGTCGCCGCGAAATAACGGTGATTGCAGTGCAATTATCCCATTGCGTTCACCATTTCAACATGAGCGGTCGGTTTGGCCAATTTTTTCAATAAATCCAAAAATAAGAACAGCGTTTTTTTACCCGTTTCTCTTCCTTGCTGATATGAAAAACGCTGGCGAAATAAAAATATCTCTATGGCAACGTCCTCTAAAAAATATACGCAGAGCATTTCGGGCGGAATGGTGCAATTCATGAGCTCCATTAGCTCCATGTTGAATGCGGTTTATAATGGGCGGATCTGGAGACCGCCATCACCCTGCATCTTTTTTTTGAGCATGTTTTTCATAGTGCCGCTGCAAACTTGGCCCACTCCCACCAATGTCCAGGAGGTGCGACAGTTCCTTGGATTGGCAAGCTATTACCGCCGATTTATCAAGGATTACGCCCACATCGCCGCACCATTGACCGATCTCATGCAAGGTGCTGGACCGAAACGCCGAAAGATCGTTTGGTCGCAGAAATGTCAAGCTGCTTTCGAAGAATTGAAGACACGGTTAGCTTCCGCTCCTGTGTTGGTTGCCCCTCGACTTGATCATCCGTATAAGGTGTATACAGACGCTTCAGATTTCGCTTGTGGTGCTGTACTGGTTCAAGATGACGACAATGGTTTGGAACATCCGATTGCCTATGAGAGCAAGAAGTTTAGCAAGACTGAGCAAAATTATCCTGCTCAAGAAAGGGAATTATTTGCTATCCTTCATGCTTTGTGCACGTGGCGATGTTTTTCGGATGGTACCAAGTATGTGGTATACACAGATCATTTGCCACTTCGGTACCTACATTTGCAGAAGACCCCAACTCCTAGGCTGGTACGCTGGATTAACGAGCTGGAACTGTACGACCCCAATATTCAGTATCGACCAGGCAAACAAAGTAGTTCTGGATGCACTCTCTCGGATCGTTCAAGACTCTGACGATGACCATGATGAGAAGCCCGTAGTGCCCGAATATTTATACTTGATGGACACGGTGATGCCTGTGGTGCATGATACAGATTGGCCTCTTTATTACATGTATGCCGAAGAAGCCATTCCTGAGTCCATACAAGAACAGCTGAAGGAAAATCGCAATACATTTGTGATCAAGGACGAAATCTATCACCAAAACGATGAACACTGGACCTGATTTGTTCCTTACATTGAACATGCCGACCTGCTTGCTCATTATCACCATTCCATTGGACATGCCGGATTACCATGTTACACATACAGTATTACAACCCCATGTATAGTGGCCCCAGATGAAGGAAATCAAAGAATGGTTACAGCAGTGTCAAGAGTGTCAGCTAGCCAGTAAACCTCAACGATCTGTCCATAAAGCACCGATGCATCCTCTTAACGTCCTGGAACCGTTTGGACAATGGCATCTGAATTTCATTGGTCAATTACCTATGACTCGTCAAGGCAATCATTGGATCATTGCTGCCGTGGATTATTTGACGAATTGGCCAATTGCTCGAGCTGTCCCAGTGGCGTCTGCAGCAGCGGTAGCAGACTTTTTATATGAAGAAATCGTCATGCGCTTTGGTTGCCCCAAGGAGATTCTCTCAGATTGTGGTGCCGCCTTTATGTCCCAAATCTTGCAGTGATACTGTACATGAAACGAATCAAGGCAACGCATCGATTTACGTCGGCTTATCATCCTCGAACGAACGGAAAGGTCGAACGCTTGAATGGAACCCTGAAGTCGATGCTCATCAAGTGCTTGCGTGGACGAATTCATGAATGGGATCAACACTTGGACACAGCCGTATGGGCCTTACGTGTTCATAAACACGCTACTACTGGACATAGCCCATTCTACTTGGTGTACGGTCGAGAACCTGTGCTCCCTGGTGACCCATTACGACCTTATCTAGCTGAACCTGATGTTCCTGTGGACCCGAACAGACCTTCTGAAGAGCTGGACAAGCTAGAATCAGCCCATCAAGACGCCGAAACACAACTGAAGTTGCAAGCCGAACGTGACAAAGTTCGATGGGATGCTACGGTTAAGCCCATTACGTTCGAAATTGGTGACTTAGTCTTGCTGCGTGTGGAACAGAAAGTTGGATTGGAATTTTCATGGGAAGGACCTTATCATGTATGACGCAAGAACGACGACAATGATGTTTATTTATTGGAAAGTCTCGATGGTGTGGTTCGACCTGATTGGATATATGTTGATCGCCTGAAGCAAGCAAACACAGTCGAACAGTTACTCAAAACGCGACCCTGGTTCGATGTGCGAACGTGTTATGCACTGATTACGGGAGGATCAGTGCAAGCTGGACAAGAGGGTGGTGTTAAGTGCTTTCGCAAGACAAAGACAAGACAAGACAAGAAAAGGAATACAGTAAAACAAGAACAAGAAACAAGAATAGAAACAGGAAAAGAACCAAGACAAGGACAAGACAAGATGGAGAACAAGATAGTATGAGAGAATACACACACACACACAATTCTTGACTGCGGTTTATTTCATAAAAGAGATCGGGTATTTATACTAAAAGATGCGAAACAGAAGAGACAATGATAATAAAATAAATAAATGAAATGCAGAGCATAACATGAGGTAACGCATAGATCAATAAAAGGAGGAAAGACAACGATAGAGAAGAACACAAGAGCAAGTATAGGGGTAAGCGCATGGACCAGCATGGCAACAGTGGAGGAGTGTGCTTGGACCAATAATGCACATGGTCATGCATTATCGCCAAGACCACGTGTGCGTGGGAATGGTCATGACAGAACGTCCCGTTCCCAATGGCCTGCTGGTGCATTACGCGATCTGCCACCATCTAACGACTTTCACGAAAAGGTTGACACCATCGTGAACGAGCCCAACACTCACGATGCGCAAGAAATCGTTGCTCCCGAAAACCCCATGGTTGAAGATGCTGTCGAAACACCTGCCCTGCTGAATGACTCCGAAAATTCTATGGTTGACGAAGTTATCGATTCACCCGACGCAACAATCGATCAAGAGGATACAATCTGTGATGAAGATCTCGACGACACTGATATATCAACAGACCCGATGTCTCCAATGTCTCAGTCGATTGACCCTAACAAACATGACCGCTCGGATTATGAACCCGCTTTGGACTTAATGAACGACCCCAACATCACTGACGATGTGGTTTCAACCAAACTTGAAGATGTCCCCGCTATGTGCAAAGTTGACACCGTTGAACCCACCGCAATTAACGAAGTTCCACTGCAGACGACAGAACCCATCAAAGAAATAGCTCCCTACAATACCGAGATGGCACTCTCATTGGATGAACTGTTGGAACAAGATCCTACGCTGGACGAACCCATCAATGCCCCTATGGATCTTTCTACCGTGCCACCTCCTGACCAGTATCACCTTTCTGACTCGGATGCCTCTTTCGATAACGAAGCCTGAGGACGGACTTCAGGCAAGAGGGGGGGTATTGTCAGTTACGCCGGTTCTTCTTTTACGCCGATTAGATTTGCTATACCAAAGTTTAGCAAATACGGAAGACAGCGCATTGGCTCGTCCGCAGATCGATGTCTGGAGGAACCTTCGAGAAGGTATGAAGGACCAATGGATGAACGAGGCATACCAAAGGTATTGCCTGGAAAACAGAAGAAATATAGACCGAATCCGTTTAGCATTAAAGTGGTCCGCAATACTTCTTGATTGGTTATGTTTCGGAATAATAGAAAACCATGCAGGAAGTTGACAAGAACCTTTCTGAAGATTGTAGACATAAAAATGATCTTGATAGAAAATATAAATATGACCATGTTATGGTAGAAATAAAGAAGGAACAAAAACGACAGATTTAAACTGAACTCTAAAGGAGTACTCAAATCTGACAAAAAGAAGAACTGGCGTAACTGACAATGTAATATCGCTAGAAAAGGAATCTTGAAGCTGATTGGCTGAGCACAAATGTCGTATCCTTTTTTGGTATTTCCTAAAACGTTCACGGCAACACTTACATTTTTGGTAATGACGCTTTGATCACCTTCAAGCAAACGTTTCCTTTATCGAACAGCTTGGCCGAAAGGCTGAGCATTCAGAACCAAAATACCCTGCCAAGCCTTATTACGAAATTATTATAGATTAACCCAAAAACATATAAATATCCCCTCGATCAAAACGAATAAAGAGCATCAATTATCTATCCTCCAATTCTAGTTTATTCCTTCATCTATCGTCCGTGGAACCAGTATCCGGAATAGATTCAGCAAACCCCGAAAACGACATTTGGTAGTGGCTGAAAAGGTTAAAATTTTCAGCACATAAAGTTATACAGTCAAGGCGCATTCCCCCGTAACGGACCGCAAGAAGTTTTGGATTACTTAATCAACAAGTTAAAGCGCATTTCCCTCCAGGAACCGCAAGAAGACCTGAGTGAACTAGATATGAGTGACAAGACCAACCAGACCAACCAGACCAATGCTATGGTCACGATTATGGAATCGCTGCAGCACATTATGCAACAACAGAAGAAGCAACAAGAACAGATCCAACAAGCACAGGGCTCTTGGCAGCTACCCCGAGGTGTGACGCTGGAGAAATCCGAACCTTTCGCCAGTGTTCGTACCGCTGCAGTGGTAGAAGGATGGCTCTATTCGGTCAATAAATACGCTGACCTAAGCGGCATGACCGAAGACCAGCAGCTTATGTACGCAACCACTCTACTCAAGGGAGATGCTGCGACATGGTGGCGACATGTCAAATTGAGCCAAGAAGTACCACGAACATGGGCTGATTTTCGAGGTGCAGTGATACGCGAGTTCAAGCCGCGTAATTCAGAAGAAATTGCACGCCAACAATTAACCACCCTCCGACAATTTGGATCCATTACCGATTATATTCGCGCTTTCCACACCGTGATGTTGGAATTACCGAACATGAATGACAGCGATGCCCGATTCACTTTCATCCAAGGTTTACACCCCGATGCCCGCCTACAAGTCTTGTACAAGGAGCCAACCACCTTGGCCGATGCCTACCGAATCGCCGAACACCTCGAAACAGTCCACGCCATTGCAAATGGTTACCGCCCCAACGAACCCGTGGTGAACCCCAACTGGCTATCCCAACCCAATCAATCTCACTGGGAGAACAGCAATGTGACACCTATGGACCTTGATGCCATCACACGCACTTGGAAGAAGAGTTCTCGCCCACAACAAAGGTCACCACCTCAAGTACGAACGAAAGGTGCGTGCCATTGGTGTGGTCGCTCAGGACACTACCGACGTTATTGCCGCGATCGATTGGAAGCCATTCGAAAAATGGATGAAGAACACGAAAAGACGAAGAAGCAGGATTTTTATCCAACACAACTGTGAAGGGAGGTCAGTTGTGTTCCGTAGAAGAGAAATCCTCCCAAGAGGCAAGCGTTAGTCCAGAATATAGTAATTCTGATGCCAATAAAGATGAAGATGATTCACTCTATTTTGATGCGGCAGAATGGATTATACATGAAGATGATGCATACCTGGTCGACATACAGTATTCCTGGATCGGAATACGTAAACCACGAGTGAAGCGGTCCAAAGCTTCCGCTTCCGAGACATCACCAGCGATCGCTCTCAAGTCCTGGAATTCTTCGGCATAACGTTGCACGGAACCAGTTTGTCATAGGTTGTGCAACTTTCCACGGACTTGTCGGTACACACCAGTTGGGACAAAGTAGTGCCGAATGGCATCGCATAAATCTTCCCAGTTATCGATCGTATCGTCACCACTAGTCTGCTTGTGACGTCGCCACCACATCTTCGCCTTGTCTTCGAGGAGCATAACAGCAAAGTTGAACCGCTGTTCCTCCGGCATTTTTGTAAAGGTGAAGTATTGGTCGACATCATCGATCCAGTTTTCCACAACGATGGGGTCCTTGACACCTCAGAACTTCGCAGGCAGAGAAACCTTGACTTCTGCACCTTGGGTCTGCTTTCCAGCATTTTCTTCCTTCTTCTTTTCGCGTTCCAGAAAGTAAGCCAAAGCTTCGGTGAGAGTCTTCATTTGTGCGTCCATAGTTCCAGTTTCGTTGTAATAGTAATTGGGCTCAGGTCGGGTTTCTTTTCAGCCGGTACCAGTTGTCAGATTTGAGTACTCCTTTAGAGTTCAGTTTAAATCTGTAGTTTTTGTTCATTCTTTATTTCTACCATAACATGGTCATATTTACAGTATATTTTCTATCAAGATCATTTTTATGTCTACAATCTTCAGGAAGGTTCTCGTTAACTTCCTGCACGGTTTTCTATTATTCCGAAACATAACCAATCAAGAAGTATTGCGGACCACTTTAATGCTAAACAGATTCGGTCTATATTTCTTCTGTTTTCCAGGCAATACCTTTGGTATGCCTCGTTCATCCATTGGTCCTTCATACCTTCTTGAAGGTTCCTCCAGACATCGATCTGTGGACGAGCCAATGCGCTGTCTTCCGTATTTGCTAAACTTTGGTATAGCAAATCTAATCGGCGCAAAAGAAGAACTGGCGTAACTGACAAAGCAAACGTTTCCTTTATCGAACAGCTCGGCCGAAAGGCTGAGCATTCAGAACCAAAATACCCTGCCAAGCCTTATTACGAAATTATTATAGATTAACCCAAAAACATATAAATATCCCCTCGATCAAAACGAATAAAGAGCATCAATTATCTATCCTCCAATTCTAGTTTATTCCTTCATCTATCGTCCGTGGAACCAGTATCCGGAATAGTGTCGTACTTCACTCGGATCTGATATACCGGCAAGATCACCAGAGTGGGAAACAAGAGGATTAGGGATAGGAAAGATAACGCTTTATTTTTGTCAATTATAAGGAGATATTTATATATGCTTATTCGGTCTATGTTCTTAAAGAGGATAATGGCTGAGCGGCTAAAACTTTGATAAAAGGATGGTTGTACTTAGCAAGATGCTAAGCTGATTACCATTTTCGGACGTTATCCGCTTCAGCCACGACATTACTCCCTCCTTAGAACGTTGATCGACCTCGAGCAACTAGGGAACAACCAGGGAAGAGAAAAGAGAAGTGCGGCACGGGTAGAGAGAAAAAATTTATCGGAAGAGAACATTTACAGGCTGGGAGAAGGCAGGGCACGGGCAATGCGTGGGATATACCAGGCTTGTCGGCGAGTTTCCTCGGTGGCATATGCAGGACGCAATCGATCGGTATGAACCCAAGAGGCGTATTCTTTTCCGTTGACTTCGTGGATCTGATAGATATCGTTGTCAAGATTACGGCCGATGATTGTATATGGACCTATCCAAGAAGGCTCAAGACCCTTTTTGTTTTCATGGCGTAGAAGGACGAGGTCACCGATATCGAACATTTGGGTTTCTGTGCGCATAACTTCGTCCCAGCGGCGTTTGTCAGCTTCAGCGTTTCGTTGCATTCGCCATTCGGCTGTATCTCGAGCTTCGCGTAGCTTTCGGAGGTAAGTGTATGCGTCGTCAGCTAATTGTTCTGGGGCGGGTTCGGTGGCAGAAACTTGAATCCAAGGAGAGGCAACATCACCAGGAATTTTAGGATGGCGGCCGTAAGTCAAATAAAAAGGGCTGTACCCGGTAGTGCGGTGTTTACGGATCCGGCAAGCCCACAGAGCAGTATTCAGGTGGATATCCCAGGAACAAACATCACCGTTGATGTACTTCTTCAACATCTTCTTCAACGTTTGATTGAACCGTTCGCATTTGCCGTTTGTGCGGGGGTGGAATGCTGAAGTCAAAGTGTGATGAGTACGAAGCATGCGAATATATCTGGATACCACTTGAGACATGAAGTTGGGGCCGCGATCGGTCAGAATTTCGTCAGGACAACCAAAACGAAGGACTATTTCTTCATAAATGAATTGGACAATGGCAGCGCCAGTGGCCTCGGGTACCGCACGAGCAATTGGCCAGTTCGTAGAATAATCGACAGCAACGAGTATCCACCGGTTACCATTGCTTGTCGTTGGTAGTTCACCGATGAAATCCAGATGCCAGCGGGAGAAGGCGGCGGGAACTTCCAAATTGTGCATGGGGGCCTTGTGAATATTACGATCTTGGTTGGCAGCTAATTGGCACGACGGACAAGTTTTGGTCCAGGCTTGGATATCGTCGCGCATTCCGGGCCACCACCAACGGGTCTTCATCAGGTCGTACATGGTTGCAGTTCCAGTGTGCCCAAAGCCTTTGTGATAATCTTGGATTAAATCGGCGCGACGGACGAAGCGAAGGTATCGAAGTTCTTTAGGGTGATCCTTCTGCGGGCGGTAGAAAATCATGTTATCACGGATGACGAAATGGTCACGGTACTTCTTGAGTTTTGCATTGATTTCGGCGGGCCAGGTTTCCGGGTCTTTCACATACCAGCGGGGCCAATCGTTACGGGGATCGATGTGGGGTTCTTCAGGTTCATCGATACTGTAGAGATACTTCGGCTCGATTTCGAAAGGTTCAGGCTCGCATGAGGGGCCATCAACACGGGAGAGTAAATCAGGGACGGTATTTTCGGCGCCAGGTTTGTACTGAATATTGGGATCATAGGATTCGAGTTCATTAAGATAGCGGACTAGGCGAGGAGTCGGGTTCTTCTGAGTTCGCAGCGATTTCAGGGATAAATGGTCAGCGTATACTACATAATTTCGTTCACGGCTATCGATAAAACAACGCCAGGTACGAAGGGCATGAAGGACACCAAGCAACTCTCGTTCTTGAGCTGGGTAGGATCTTTCGGTTCTGGAAAGTTTCTTGGATTCGAAGGCAATTGGGTGCCATTCTCCGGAGTCGTCTTCTTGTAACAGAACGGCACCAAGACCATAATCGGATGCGTCGGTTTCAATTCGGAACGGCTTTGTCATATTAGGAGACTTTAGAACCAGCGCTTCGACGAGTTTACTTTTGAGGAGATCGAAGCTGTGCTGGCATTCCTGCGTCCAGGTGATAGCACGTTGTTTGGGACCATTGCCTCGAGTGAGGTCGGTGATCGGGGTGGCAATGCTCGCAAAACCAGGAATGAAGCGACGGTAGTGTTGGGCTAGGCCAATAAATTGGCGTACCTCTTGGACGTTAGTAGGGACCGGCCAATTCTGCACAGCTTTGATTTTCTCTTTCGACGGCAGTATACCCTCGCTGGAGATATCGTACCCTAGAAAGCATAGTTCGGTCTGGGCAAAGTGGCATTTCTTGGGATTGACAACCAGTTGGGCTTCACGGAGCTTGTTCAGAACGGCGTGTACATGTTCTTGGTGTTCTTCAAGGGATTTGCTGAATATCAAGATGTCGTCTAAATATACCATGGCGAACTTGTCCAAATAATCTTTCAATACCGAATTCATAAGGCATTGGAACGTTGGCAGAGCGTTGGTGAGACCAAAGGGCAATACCAGGAATTCGTACTGACCGTATCGAGTATTAAAAGCGGTTTTTGGAACATCCTCGGGTTTGATTCGTACTTAGTGATATCCAGACTTGAGATCAAGGGAGGTAAAGTAACGGGCATCACAGAGGCGGTCTAGGCATTCATCGATACGTGGGAGTGGATAGTTGTTTCGGACGGTAACTTTGTTCAGTGCGCGATAATCGATGCACATGCGCATCTCACCATTCTTTTTCTTCACAAAGAGGACGGGTGCACCCCACGGAGACGAGCTTGGCTGTATATGTCCCTTTTTCAGTAATTCTTTGAGTTGGCGTTGGAGCTCGTCCAGTTCCAGAGGACTCATTTTGTAAGGTGTGCGGTTTACGGGCGTGGCATCTTCGGTGTCAATGACATGTTGAACATCGCGGTCGGGGGGCAAATCGGTGATATCGTCATGGAATATCTCAGCAAATTTGGAAGTCAGCTTGATGACCCACTCAGGATTCTTCACCTCTTCGGCAGTATTAGCTTGGAGATGTACCAGGTAACAGCGGGCGTCATCGTTGGCAAGGAGCTTCGCGACTTGTTTGGCGGACAGGAGAAAGTTGACATCATCAGTCGAGGAAGTGCTGCTGATAGGGCGGATAATAAACGATTGGGAATCGTTGTTAATGGTCCACACATGGTTTGGCCAGTCGGGGATGGGTTTGTTAGCCACCAACCATGCATCACCAAGAATGATATCGAACTTCGAATCGAAAATGAGCGCGTCAAAACGGTAGTAAAATCACCAATCGTTCCTGAGATGTGGGCAGATCCTTTAATTGGGGCATGCTGACCATTAGCTGTTTCCACGACCTGACCATGGGTTTCATGTGCAACTGAGGACGCAAGATTGGGCACGCGGGGACTAATGTAATTGGTACTAGCGCCGCTATCGATCAGCGCCCGAAAGTGTTGACCTTGAATAACGAAGTCATACAGAGGAAGACGACC